TACCCTCCAAGCTGCAGACATCTTGACCAAGGCGTTTGACAGCACCCCAGTGTGGCACCACGCACTCGAGCTGATCGGTATCTCCCCAAATCGCCAGGCGCGAGCCTGTGCCACCAGTTTGCTGCTTTCCCCGCGCGCCAAGGCCGGAGAAGTTAGTGATCAGGGGGGGCAGATCGCCGCGCTATGCAACGCTCAGCCCAAGCGCCTCCTTATTGAGTTCTGTTGTTCGACGACCTCACGGTTGGGCGAATCAAGAGACTCTTCAAAGGGATGTCGTGTCATTCGGGCAACTGAAACCGAAGACGGGTGCTCTGATACATGCAGGCAGTGGTTAGTCCATGAAATTGCCGAATTTAGGAGCAAGAATCCTAAGGGTGCAATAATGTTCTACGTTTCATTGCCTTGCACTGGAGGATGCCCGTGGGGTTATGTCAACCAGCAAACTCCCAAAGGTGCTGCCAAGATTGAGGGTCACATCAAGCAATTCCGATCACTGCTGAGAGGGTTCAAACGCATTCTCAATGATGTCTATTCTGATGACGTTAGAGTTGCCTTCGAACTTCCCAAGGCGTGTCGTTATTGGAAATGGCCCGAACTATGGAGTTTCTTGACTAAGTACAAGATGAACAAGTACGAATTCCATGGTTGCAAAATCGGCATTAAAGGGAGAAATGGAAAACCTATGAAAAAGCAGTGGGTCGTTGCCAGTAATATGCCCACTATTTCCGTGGTTGAGTACTTCAAGTGTGATGGTTCTCACGAGCATGATGAAAGCCGTGGTACGCATTTGAAGGAAGCCGAGGGATACACGTATGTTTACACCGATGCCGTTCACAATGCATTTTCTGAACATGCCACCATGCAGCCGTTGCTTTCGAGTGATTGTGCTGCATCTTCTTCGCAATGAGCAGCGCGACGGCTATGGCGCATCCCGCGAGGGATTGCGATCCGGCATGGAGGAGATGGATGGAGAATGTCGCTACCACTTCGGTATGCACGAACGGCAAATACGACGCTAACCTCGCCGCCACGGTCAAGGGCCTCCTCGAGACGACCTCTGCACAGTCGCTTATTCATACATGGGTGCAGGACCAACCGCACTACCTGCAATTGCTTACACCCCTGTTAACCATAAGCGAACCGTACTTGAAAGTTTTGCAGGCCCCACGTGTACCAGACCGCGACCTCCTTATCTATGTGACCGTCGCTGATTCAGGACTGTCCATGGTTTCGGGCAAGAAGCGCAAGCTTCGCAAGTACGACTTTGCGGAGCGTTTGGATGCCTCTCGCCCGGCGCGTGTCGGTGCATGGAGGTCTGAAATGCTTTGGGGCAAGGGCTTACAACAGCTGTGCAAGCGGTTGGCCGCCCTCATCGACGAGGTGCGTACCGACTACCCAGCAGCCACCATCATTCCGATGATTTACTGGAATGGCAACGAGCTCGTTGGGAAGGACGGCCTCGAGCCCACTGGTACATATCCTTACGACACCCCCATCGGAGACGCCGAGCAACTTCTCGCTGACACCAGACGGCACCTGGCTTGGACCAGGGATTTCGCGGCCCGCAAGGGCTGCGCATGCCTTGGAGTCATGACCGGCGCGAAGAGCTACCTCTACGGCTTCTCTATGATTTGGGACCGTTTCATGACGGAAGTCCGGGATTACATCATCGGCGACCCCAACAATATGTTTGTATATGTTGATGCTACACCCTTCGTCGAGACCATCGATTTGCTGGACAGGTATCATATGTGCTTCAGTGACGACAATATCACGAAGACCGTCCAGTTTATGCGCGGAACCCATCATATGTTGTACATGCTTTCCATCTTGCGCCCCGCAATGGGCAGCGTAGCCGAGCTGACACGTTCGCATGATTGCACAATGCGTCCGATCGATGTGCTCGAGGTGCGCCACCAAGAGGATTGCACAGTCAACGTTGAGGTTCTCGCGTACTGCAAGGAAACGCTAACGAAGTGCGGCGTTTCATTGTCAGAGATGATCGGGCTCCCTTTCACCCGTGAAGAAGTGGAGTTCCGGCAGCCCCTCGATTTCGCCCCTGTCGATCCAGCCGAATTTGCAACTTCAGGTGAGCCTTCCGGTGCTGATGTTTCCGAAAGTGTTCGCCCGGCGCAAGCCGGTGCAAAGGCGGCTGCGGTGGCACAGAGGGACGAGGCGACGAGCAGGCCGGTACCACTCGACTCCTACGGGAGGAACGTGACTGGGGGCCACTACGATTGCTGGGTTTATAGCATCCATGACGGCGTGAAGTATGTTGACTATGGTGAGGGCCCCAAGCGACTTGAGATCATCAAGCAGCCTTCTTTTGATTACGACCCTTCCGTCAGGAGAATCAGCAATGAGTACCACAGCTCCCTGACGTGCATCTCGAAGATCCTCCGTGGTCGAGGGACAGAAGGATGTGGGTACGTGATGGATGAGGACGGCTACATGGACCTTGAAGATTTGGGACTCGCGCTTCGCAAGGAGCTGCGACATCCCATTCCATGGAATATTCAGAGCATCATGGACATCTTCAAGCTCGACAAAAAGCAGAGGTTCATTGCGCTTGGTTGCCCGGACGCAAGCCGGTGCGGAGACGTCCCCTGTTCTCATTGGATTTTCAAGATCAAGGCCTCCCAAGGCCATGAGGACTGGCTCCAAATTGACGACTCCGGCATCGCGAAGGAGTGGTACGTGAACCCGGGGACGGACCTCGGGCGCTGGTCTGGCTGGAACGTCTGCAGCAACCCTCCTACGGTGCTCTATCATCGCACCGATAAGCGGAACTTCGCCAACATTATGCGAAACGGACTGCTTCCAGGAGGAGGTGACCAGCACGAGACAGGCAGACCTCACGTTTTCTTCGCTGACATTCCGAGCACGAACGAAAATTACATCTCAGGTGTACGCGCTAACAAGCCCTTGGAAATACAGATCGACCTCAGGATGGCCATTCGCGCAGGGCTTTGCTTTTTCAAGACAGAGAGCGATGGCGTCCTCACGCGCGACAAGGTGCCCAACTACACGATTATTTCTGTATTGGACGCTACAAATGGCGATGTATGGTACACTCGCTCCGAGCAATCGGATGCAGGTGCACCAGCTGAGGCGACTGAGGATGAACCCCAGGGGATGAAGCGCGACCAAGCCGTGGTTGATGATCGGTCCACAGCACTGGAGCGCATTGCTACAACCCGCACCAATGTGGCGTCTCCTCGCGCCCCGCAAGGGGAAGCGAAGAGACAGAAGACTTTCAATCCAATGGAGAACGTTGAGCTGAATGTCGCCACGTGCCCGGTTTGCAACAACAGTGTGTTCGAGGGGCAGGTCCACTGCACATCATGTGGGCAGTTGTCACCCCTCAATCCTCGCCTGTTGAAAGAGCAGCAAAAGAATTACCTTGTGCAGCGTTCCAATTTGCTGAAGAAGATGGGCCTCAGCACCCATGTCACAGCCCAGGTTTTGGCATCCGTGGGAACTTTTGACCTCCGCGAGGAGGATCGGAGTAGCATCCTTCGTGGCCTGAACTCCCCGGACAGTGCTGTCATTCAGGAGGCCCGGAAGAAGCACAAGTCCGCCCTGAAGAACGGCTACCACTCTCTACTTGATCGCTATGAACTCGACCTTCAATACAGGGTTCGTATGCTTGAAGTGGGCCGTCGGGATGCGGATATACTCCGCATGGAGTTGTGTGCAAACCTCGTCTTGGCTGCTCCAAAGCAGTCGCAAGCCCAGCGCACTCTTGGAGTTGGCCTTGGATCAACTTCTGAGTCGCGAATCGCAAGGCTCGCGTACATAAAGACGGAGGTGGAGTTTTTGCCCAGCGAATTGCAGGATGCACTCAGTTCCCGTTGGATCATCATGTTTCAGGGAATGCCATACAGTCCACGGGCTTTTGTGAATGTTGTCTCCGAGCAGGACAAGCCTCGCAGCGATGGAGTTTTTGGATCTTCTGAGTCGCGAATTGTACCTCGCAGGATGCAATGGATCATCTCGCCATACAGAAATTCATGGCATCCATTTGCGAAGCAATTCCCTCGAGGACCTCCGCCACGAAATGGACTGGATATTCAGCCAGAACGAGCGATATGCCCAAAACTCAGTTGAGTTTTCAAAGAACGAGAGCACCAAGCACCTCGCTCGCAATGCCGCTCGCTATGCCGATCAAAGTGCTCCCGCCGCCCGCGAGGGTGAGCATTGGAGCCAAGGCAGCTGGCAGAACTGGTCCGGTTGGGGAGGATGGAATGACAGCAGCGGATACCAATCTACTTGGCAGTGGCGCTAAAAGCGCAACTGTCATGGTTTGCATGTATACAACGGTTCCCCATGACCTTCTCCCTCTGTTGTGTTTCTGTTTGGCTGCTTTGTGAAAGGCCCCTTTAACACGCAGAGGGGGGTGAAGAATTTGATCGGTCAGTTTGGGGTTTTACATCCGTTGCATCCGCAGTGTGGCTGTTCAAGCGTGAAAATGTGCGAGCAGCGCACTTGGACGGTTTGTTGTTTCCTTTTGGGCCCCAAACCGGTAACCCTTGAATCTATAGCGGCTTCAAGTGTAAGTCAGCGTGAAAGTACACTCAACTAGGTTTCCCAGCCAGGTGCCCTTCTCACCCCTTTTTGGTTGGGAGGGTTCCCCTACCAAAATAGACTACAGAAAAAAGTTGATAGCCTGATTCTAACCTCTCCTCTGGAGGACCTGGCTCAATGATAGCCATTGAACTTGCCTCCTTGCACCCGTCGGCGCAGGCGTCCTTTTTGGTCGTGTTGCTTGAAAAATAGATGGTGATTCCTGGTTTACCAGGTGGTTCAATCATCTACCAGGGCCATCTATGTCCCCTAAAAGGACACCTATGGTCGTCGGGACCTCCGAATTTGAGCCTGAAGTGAGTAGAAAGCAACATGAGTTTCAACGCCGCCTTTTTGGTCCACCAGTCGCGGTCCCCAAGGCCCAAAGGTTAATCTGTTATTTCCAGGTCCTTCGAAGGTCAAAAGTCGGGCAGGATCCATGCGGGCGGTCCGCTACTTGCCCAAGTGGCTGCGGGAGCTCATCGGCATCAACGACGGCATCCGCGGACAGCACTTGGCGTTTCATCTCGAAAAGGCACCTGGGTTGCGTGGCAGTCCTCATAGTTCGTTTCATTTTGCGGGGGGGGGGGAATTAAAACGGTTCTTTTCAGAAAGTGTGGGAACATTTGGATGGGGGGAGTTCAAACATCACCTTTTTGGCAACTTCAAAGTTTGTTTGCTGCTGAGGTGATGCTGAGACGGACATATAAGGAACCCTGTTGTGGGAAGCAGACTGGATGCTTTGACGACTCTACTGGCAAGTAATGTTTCTTTGATTCGGGAAGTGCACTGACTGGTTCCCACACAAGTGACCTCGTTGAATAAGTTGTAGCCTTGGTGAATTACTCAGTAGCGGTAACTAGCCCCACCTGCAAAAGGGATCTGAAAGATCTTGGAAGTTTGCAAGCCGGCCGTGTGGTAGCAATTGTCAATGCTACCAGCGCCCGCTAACCTTGTGACTTGCCAAATGCTTTCTGCAAAATTGCGCCTGCCAACTACTTGGCGACTCCACCAGGACGCATTGTTCGAAGAGTGCGGATGTTTTTGCTGGAGTTGTTTACTGGCGCTTGGTGTGTTGATGGGTTTGCGCGTTTTACATCGCTGTTCCAACACAATATATATATATATATAGATAAAGATATATATATATATGTGTATGTGTATATATATATATAATATGCATATATATATATATATGCAGATGCGGATATGTGTGCACATACACACACAAACACGCTTCCATTCTGGGTGCTGGGAAGATCCTGAACGTCGCAGAGTGTTCCCTCCCCTTATGGAACTGGACAGTTATTTTCTAGAGACATTAGAGACATTTGTGTTTTGTTGCTAACCCCTTTTGTCAGCTCCCATTGGAATTGTCTCCGTCTCACTCCCTTTGTCTTTCGCGATGGTCATGTGCAACCTTTGGTCCTTGCAGTTTTGCTACACTGCGTCAGGTTTTAGAAGACCTTGTGACTTCTTCCGTCGGTTCTGTTTGTGCGTGTGCATTTTTTTCCTTCTAGGATGATGATCTGATGCAAAAGGAGAAACACCGTGACTTGATGATGTTCGAGCCAGGGTTTTGTTTCTCCATGAGCAAATTACGCGCAGTTTGGCGGGGCGCAGTGAAAAGAGGCAATTCGGAAATATGCAACTAGATCAAAACACCTGCTCCAAAGTCATCCGGTGAGAACCTTCCGTTTTCGGAGCGCCCTTTGGTTGGGTGAAATCTAGGGGTACCTTCCATTTCCATTCTTTCCAGGAATCCTTCCAGAAAACCTCTAGAAACCCAGGGAAAACGGCTGGTTTTCGAAAAGAATGATGGTTGAACAGAATGCAAACAGAAATCAACCCCTGGATGCAAGTTAAACCTGTGATGCGCGCGCGAGCAAGAAAGAGAAAGAAGAAACTTGGCAGGTGCTGCAGTCCCTGCGGCAGCACTTTGCGCGCCACGCAGGCCGGGTTCCGGGGGCAGAGTGTGAAAAAACTCGATTCCCATGGCTTTGCTGGTATGGCCATGGGTCAAAACCCATGGGATTTGGTAGGTGCACCACCCGTTTTAGTCTGTTTTAATGGGGATAGCGATGTTCTCTGAGGGTACGGGATTTTGACCCATGGCCATATAACCAGGGGGGGGGATCTCGTGATTTTCAGTTGGGTTGAGCCTGCAATAGCTGTCAATTTCAGAAGAGAACCAAAAAGACAACTGGGCGTAACTTCCTTCGTTGCGAGGTGAGGTGGAAACCATGTTGCGAAGACACCCTGCTGCTTTTGGCGGAGAGGGGAAACACGGCTGGAACTGGGCCACTGGATTCGTGCATTGAACATCGTGTGTGTTTTTTGTGCTGGGGCCATCGGTCGTTTTGTAACATTTCAGTCCCTCTAGTTCAACCCACCCCTACCTGAGGCATTCCAGCGGTTGTTGGCATAAGGTGGTTCGGCTCTGAGCGCGGCTAAACATGCAAGTTAGTTTGCTTTGGGTGACCTTGTTCAAATCAGCAAGGGCCTTCTGGTTGCAGACCTTGGATTACTCAACCTGGATTAACAGGGTATATCCCTCAAAAGTGAAGGGTTTCTGGTGAAACAAGCAACCCGAGGTTCGCCTGGAAAGAGGGTGCTCCCATTCGTCCCAATCAAGTCACACAAGTAACAAACAGGGCCCCAACAGACACAGCACATCCCAGCTGCTTTTCGGCAGAGGTTTGGACCTTGGACGTTGAGCTGCCGTGTGCCGGGTTCAACTTTTGGGGGCCTTAGGCCCAGCACCAACGACTTTTCCCCACGTCCGAAATTTAAAAGAAAATGCTGGGGCTGCCCGAAAAGCGGTGGTTCCCACCTGGAACCACTCTGAAACCAACCCTCCCCCCCACCTGGAACCACTCTGAAACTGGGGTGTTGTTTCTCTACGAAGTCGGCGGAGCATCCATGGCGTTTGCCTGACATACCTGATACCTGGCAGTTCGGTTGCCATGCGGAGGAAACGAGGAGCCTGAAAGGGCACCCAGGGCACCCAACAGAGATGATGACACGGGTGAATTGGAGTCTCCTTTTTGCTTGTCCTCACCAAGGTAAAACGACTGATATCAACAAGACACACACACACACACACACACATCTAGCCTCACTTCAGGTGAGCCGGAGGATTTCCAGACCTCGCGGATGGTCCGGCCCCGGACCATCTGAGTCGTTCGAGGGGCTCAAAGTTCGGATGGAGCACTCCATGTCTCATTGAAAGCTACCGAGAGAGGGGTCACAAGAGTTTGGTTCCAAGAGAGGGTGTCCCTCCAGTGGCCTTCCCAAACGGAGGGCGCCTCAATTTCCCGTTTGGGACCATGTGTTGAGGAGACCCAAATATTTGGAGCTGATGGAAATGGCAAGCGCCCGTGTCATTTGCACGTGTGTCAGGGGATGACAAGCGTTGCCAGTTCCTGAGCTGATGGTTTAGTCTGTGTGGGCAATGCTTGTGTAGGGGCATTGGAACCCCTACGCGTCCACCGCCGCACAAAGATTGCAGGCGCAACTTTTCCGTGGCTCAACCAGGCAAGCCTTTCCAGCGTTTGCGGAGAAAGGGGGCTTTGGCGCTATTGGCGCCATTGGCTCTGGGAATATGCAGCAGGACCCAGAAGCCCCAAGCAAGAACAGTCAAAGGGGCATTGCAGGTGAGTGGGTAGTAAGCTTGGTGAGATAACCCACAAAAGCCACGGTTATAAGTTTCTGTTCAGAGGGTTAGAGCCCGGCTTACGAACCACGTACTAAGAACCCGATCGCCCTTGTTTGTACCATATGTCCAAAGATTTGTAATGCACCTCTTATAACTGGTGTTTCTTTCTTATCTCCGGAGTGGAACTGAGATGTATGTGGCCGTTAGCGACGCCCGTCCTGATTCCATGTTGACTGAAGCAAGGAGCAATTGCATTGATAGCAACCGCTCGTTTGTGGTTTGTCAGTTGAGATAAGCAGGCAGGCAGTTGTTCAAGGCACGACCATGCTGTGGATGGGCAAAAATCCTTCACCACCTAAGAAACCATGGGGTTTCCCATTGTTTGTTGGTACTTGGAGGAAGACTCATGCTTAGATTTCTTAGGTGCTGCGAAATGGATTTCGTCCATAGCTCCCAACTCTTCGTGTGAAGAAACACCGACATCGGAGGCCCCGGCTTTTGACTAACTGTCTAACTTCCGTGCCTCGGTCGGCAGGCCAGGCTACATGTTTACCACAGCACGCCCTAGGTCTAAGGGCCCCGTTTGCCCAATGGCTTCCACTCGTCAAATCTGGCAATCGGGGCTTACCTGTTGACCCCAAAGAAATATAAACTTGTTTGTTTGTGAACGGTTTCTCGGATCTCTCCAAAAATCTGGAGGTGGATCACGGTATCGCTTTAAGGTCAAAAGGTCCAAGCAAAATCAGCGGGGCACGTGCTCCGGACCTCCGGTGCAGTCTTTCTTTGCTTTGAGGGGATGCGTCACAATTGCATGCCGAACAAGCGCGCCCATGTTTCCCCATGAACATGCATCTGAGGAAAGTGGTGGAAGCAGTCTTGGGCCTTTTTGAAATCACTATGGTTGAGGCAAGCTGCTGTTTGTTTCCCTAAAGATCTAGGGGTTGACTCCCCATTCCTTTCAACCATCATTCTTTTAAAAAGCCAGCTGTTTCCTCTGGGGTTCTGATGGTTTTCTGAAAAGATTCGGATCCCTGGAAAGAATGGAAATGGCAGGTTCCCCTAGAAAAGAGCCGACTCGGATCTGACTTTCGTTGCACCACTTCCCAGTTGCATTGTTGAAACCCGTTGCAACCAGCGATTCCAAGTAGAGTCCCGTTCGGGAGCAAAAGGGAACTCCCCAAAAGTGATGACTTCTCTGTTGCCCAGTGGTGCCCATTTTTCCTTTTTTTTTTTGGGGAAGGGTGCCCTTTTTTCCCCATGACCACGGGAACCTCCTCAGAATCGCTCAGAATGGTTAGGGCTTGCTGGTTGATTGTTCTCCTTGCCCGAAAGAACTCCTTGGTTTATTGTCATTGGTTTATTGTTGTTGAAATGTTTCCTCCCAAGTTGACCTTTGATTTCCGATTTCCTAGTCCTTTCACCCCCTCACCCCCCTCAAACTGTTTGAGACTCCACATTTTGCCAGAGCAGTCCTTTCGGCAAATCATCATGTTGCTTGCAACCTCCATGGTACGCTAGTCGCCACATCTTTCGCTCTTTATGTGTCAGAGCCTTTCCAGGCGGTGCAATCTCATGAATGGGCTTGCAACAATAATCCTTGGTGTGCGACCCCTTGCTTTGTACCCCCTGCCTATAGTTTGCAACCCCAGCCTATGTCCAATGGTTTTGTAGCCCCTATAGTCCATGGTCCTTATACTGCAACCCCTGTGGCTTGTCCCTCTGATGGTCATGCTCGTCTTTTTATTGAGGCTCGGTACCCTTTTTGGGAAACCAAAGGAAAACAGTGTCCCGTGACCTCCCATTTTGGTACATGCTATCCAGGTCGGAAACCACATTCTTTGTGCATTTTTCAAGACGCACCCGTGCAGAGTTCCGCTTTTGGATTGCAAGGAAGACTCAAATTTAGGGGCTCTCCTTGGTGAAATGAACCACTGGGTTGAAGCCTACAACGGGGTAGTGAAAAATGGAACCGTGGTGCTGGGCGCGAATCCCAAAACGGTTCATTCCACGTCTCATTCCCTACCTATCGCAGCGCTCGCAAGTAAAAATCATCTAGGTCCCCCAGTAGTGCCCTTTCTCACCCTTTTTTGGGGGAGGGTTCGCCTACTCAAATAGACGTCCAGGAAAAAAGAAGAAAACAACAAGGACCAACTTGTTCGAACCTCTCAAATCTGGAGGACCTAGTCATGTACCCTCAAAGAAACAAACCCGCACCCATAATCTCATCCTATGGCTCTTCAATGGAATTCTCAGGTTCATTTCTCATTGCCTACCTATCGCAGCGAGCGCAAGTCAAATGGCTGTGGGTCGAAGCCTATGGCACCATTTTGGTTGGTTGGTGAATTCACCACCCATTTTAGTCGAGATTTTACTGGTTGGATTGGGATGTTCACTGGGGGTACGGGCTTTTTATTTTGACCCATGAGCATAATATGGACCGCAGGTTTCAGTCTGTCTTGATCCACAGAAATGTGAGCACAGAAAAAAAAAAGGCATGGGTACTCTTATTCTATCCTCTCTACTGGAGGACCTAGTCCTGGTGTGGTTCAGGTGCTGCTCACCACGGAGCAGCTCTGCGTGCTGGTGGAGGGTGCCACCCACACCTTGCGGCTGCGCGAGGTGCGGGCGGTGGAGGCGCAGGCGGAGCCACTTGGACGGAGCTGTGGGGTGGGGATGGGTGGGGGTGGGTGGGGGTGGAGATGGGTGGGGGTGGGGGTGGGTGGGGGTGGGTGGGTGGGATGGGTGCGGGTGGGTGGGGGTGGGTGGGGGTGGAGATGGGTGGGGGTGGGGGTGGGTGGGGGTGGGTGGGTGGGATGGGTGCGGGTGGGTGGGGGTGGGGGTGGGTGGGTGGGTGGGGGTGGGTGGGGTGGGTGGGGGTGGGTGGGGGTGGGTGGGGGTGGGTGGGTGGGGTGGGATGGGTGCGGGTGGGTGGGGGTGGGGGTGGGTGGGGGTGGGTGGGTGGGTGGGGTGGGATGGGTGCGGGTGGGTGGGGGTGGGGGTGGGTGGGGTGGGATGGGTGCGTGGGGTGGGATGGGTGCGGGTGGGTGGGGGTGGGGATGGGTGGGGGTGGGGAGGGTGGGATGGGTGCGGGTGGGTGGGGGTGGGGGTGGGATGGGTGCGGGTGGGTGGGGGTGGGGGTGTGGGGGTGGGGGTGGGTGGGTGGGGGATGGGTGCGGGTGGGTGGGTGGGTGGGGTGGGATGGGTGCGGATGGGTGCGGGTGGGTGGGTGGGTGGGTGGGTGGGGATGGGTGGGGATGGGTGGGGATGGGTGGGGACGGGTGGGTGGGATGCGGGTGGGTGCGGGTGGGTGGGGGTGGGGATGGGTGGGGGTGGGTGGGTGCGGGTGGGTGACCATGACCAGAGCTCGTTGGACATCAGCAAGTCAATTGGTGGTGGGCTGTTCCAACGCACTGTGGAGGTGTCCCAGTTCACATACCAAGGGTCACCAGGGCTTGGCTTCACACCGCAAGGCCCACAGCCCAGCATGCCGTCAACCAAGGGCTCGGCATTCGCATTCCTCAAGTCGATGGCAGCCCCTAGCCAGGCAAAGTCAAAGCCCCATGGCTCCTCCTTCAAAAGGGAAAGCTGGGAATGTGGCAGATCAGATCACAGACATGCTGGGGTGGCACTGGAAGTATTTGGAGACGCAGTGGATCTCATTTTGGATACGAGTTTTGCACCACCCATTGTAGCCGTTTTACCTGTTCTACGCCATGCCTCCCCTCATGCGGTCCCGACCTCAGAGGTACTCCATATGACCCTGCCAGCACTTTGTGCGCCTTTCCACTTCATTGCGATTACGATACCCACCTTGCATACATATACATGTTTCCTGCCTGGTAAAGGGTGGGATGGGTGCGGGTGGGTGGGTGTGCGGGTGGATGGGTGGGGATGGGTGGGTATGCGGGTGGATGGGTGGGGGTGGGGTGTGGGGATGTGTGGGTGTGTGGGGTGGGATGGGTGCGGGTGGGTGGGGGTGGGTGGGGGTGGGGATGGTGGGATGGGTGCGGGTGTGGGTGGGGTGGGACGGGTGCGGGTGGGTGGTGGGTGGGGTGGGTGGGCTGGGGGGGGATGGGTGGGGATGGGTGGGGGTGGGAGTGGGTTGGTGCGGGGGTAGGGGGGGATGGGTGGGATGGGTGTGGGTGGGTGGGGTGGGATGGGTGCGGGTGGGTGGGGGTGGGGATGGGTGGGGGTGGGTGGGGGGGCTTTGCTCAAAATGTGTTGGCAATGTTGCGTTAGAGGCAAGAAGGAGGAATGACTAAATCTCAGCCACAAAACGCTGGGGACTTTCGAAATGTCTTACGCCCATTACGGGTGACTGAAATCTCACTGATTTTGATTGGCGCGTCCGTCCCGTTGAGGGGATGCCGCACGGGGCAAAACACCCCACTGACCCAACTGACTGGGGGGATTTCGATTGGAACCAGCAATTCGCACATAGATTCACAGGATGCACCAAGTTGAATTTTGGTCATGTCGACTTTTGTTCTATTTCAACCTAGTGGCGTCATTGAAGTAGAGAGTTCCCTCTTAAATGGGACACCCCGGATCTGCCAGGAGTTGATCAATCCGGATCAACACGAAAGCAATTGGATCAGAAATGAGGATCCCCTGGTTTGGATAGAAACGCAAAAGGCAAACATTAGTTCGAGGGCCTGATCCCTGTAGAAAGCCGGTTCCACGAAAAACATGTTTGCTGCATGAAAAAGAGGGTAATGCAATCCAAGTCTGCTACTAGAGAACAAAGAGGGTAGGTTATTGCTTAGATCTAGCTCATCCAGCCATTTTTCAAGGGAAGCTCGGGGCCGAGGTCAGCCTTGGTGAGCGTGAGCAGTGCGGGCATTTGGCAGCTACGGGTCCGACACGAGTGCGAGCGCTCGGAGCTGGTCATGCACCTCCTGAGGC